GTGAACATCAGTTTCACAGAGAATGGAACATTTTTGATGGATTACTTAGTTAAGTACAAAAATGTATACACTTTAAATTTGATATTATACATGTTATAAATGAAAATGCTGTATTTACTATACTAAAATAGAATTCAATGTCTAGATGAATTGTATTGAAAACTCACCACACTATTTTCTCTCACTCTCTTTCTCTCTCTCTCCGGTGTTCAGACTGCTTTACTCTTTATCTTATATTTGTATATTTAAAAAAAAAATTGCTTCCTAATAAAAAGATGTATTGTTAAGATAATATCAATAGATTTATATATTATATATTGTTATTATTTGTGTATACACTGTATTATGTTGTAAATTGGAAGTTATAAATAATAAAAATAAAAAAAAAAAAAAAAAAAAAAAAAAAAAATATTTTTTTCGTGAGAAATGCCTTTCCCCCATTCAATAAACAATTTCAGGTCCTTTGTGCACTTATCATACTCCTTTGTGGTCCTTTGTGCTCCTTTGTGCACAAAGGAGGTCCTTTGCGGTGTTTTTAGAGACCGAAAATTATTGAAATTTAATTGAAATAAATTTTTACTGTAACTTTGGAACACATTTCCTTTTTTAAAAGTTTATCACAGGATTACTATGGAAGTTCTATTATCATGATTATATTAAATTCTTGGTTTAACAATACAAAGGTGTCATTTTTTAAATTTATCAAGTTGCTTTATATGCTATTTCATATATATTTTAATAAAAAAAATGTTCACTGCATTATAAACTAAACTCAACTGACACCATAAATCTATACTAGGCTTAAGTTAATGGTGAAAATTGTCCAGTAACCATAAAATATATCTGAAACATTCAAAAACTTTTGAATAACATTGAAAATATTAGTCACAATTCAGTTTTGAGATTATTTGATCAGCTTGTTTTATTTTTATTTTAAAGGTGATATATATGTATGTATGTAAGTTGATGAATATGGTGTTGAAGTTATATTATGTTTATTGTGAAATTTTGGTTTCAATGCTATATTGAATACATTTTAATTTCAAATTGTTGTTCAAATTTCTAGCCAAGGGAAATAGCTGTTGTTAAAAACAGTTCCTAAATTGATGAAATACAATAGATAGATAAAAAAAAATAGGTCTATGTTAGTTAAGACTAGGTCGAGTATGGTTCAGACTAGGTCGAGCATGGTTCAGACTAGGTCGAGCATGGTTCAGACGCGTATAAAATGGTTAAGTACTGGTCCAGTACAAGTTCAGACTGTTAAGTTCGGTTCAGACTACAGTCTAGTATTATCAAGTAAATTTCAGACCAATTCAGACTGGTCGAGTAAAAATCAGTACAGTCGAGTACAGATATAGGCCATTTCAGACTTTTACTGGTTTGTAGTGTAAGGCAACCAATGAGAACCGATATTTGTTACGTAATAATGTCAAGATAGCGTAAATATCGCGTGAAACTAGATGCGAAGCAAATACTTAAAAGAACGTATGCAAGATCACAAAGTATATACGTCTTTCCAATGTCAATCAGTCCGATATAAGTAATAATATATTATATTTTGTCTTTCAATTTGTTGAAGGCTTCCTTGCATCATTCTTTATATTTGTAAAAGAAATCAAGGAAATGTGCAAAAACTGAAACAAAACTTTCACATTACAAGATATTTCCTTGTATGTTTCTAATATAAGCAACAGTCCAAATCCAAAAGACATTTAAAGCTCCCCTGACTTAAAAAAAAACGTTGTCTGTTGTCGTTCATGATACAGCTGTAGCCTTTATACGAGGTCGATACGAGGATAATTTATATCGACCTGAAAGATATTGACTGAGGACGTAATTTTTCTTTATACAAGCTTCTGTAAGACATTTATATAGAGACAACCATCATAACTTTTGATAAGTGATTTTAGCCCAAAATGTTAACTTGTGTTTAAACACTTTTAACAGAGAAGAAACCAAGGGACAATCTCAAATCATAAGTTTAAAAAAAAAACTGACAACACAAGGATTGAAATGTAGAACGTCATTATTTTCATTATTATTTCATTAAAAAATTACTAGTGATATTTTTCCTTTTTATAAACATCCCTTTCAGCTCATGAAATTCTCAGAAAAAAAGTGAACTTGTTCTGAGGTACATCTGACAATCAATGTAATCGAAATCACTATGGAAAGACTGGAAGAGTTGGGTACATAATTTCAAATCATATTCTCAGGTATCGTAGTGAACAAAAAAACCTGATATATTACTCTTGTATTTAATTCAGAAAGAGAATTGGTTTTTTTTTTTTCACTTGATATAACAAGCTTGTCTCCCTAACTTTACTTGTAAATGCTGCTTTTGGGAGTATTTCTATGTTGAAACATTGGTATGCAATTTTTCTAACTCATCTTAGGATCATTTTTTGATTTTTGATAAAAAAATCATATGACACTGAAGATGAACAGTTTTATTTTATTTCCATAATATTACTAAAAAAAATTTATTCAATAGCACGAAGATGGAAAATTTCTCAATATTGATACAAATTCTTTTGATATTTCAATTTTAAGAAGGGGTACTGATTTTTAATATCTTCTTTTTTTTTCAATTAGAAAATTTTGACGTGATTGGAAATAGAAATCTTCAAAGGAAGGTGTAGACTGAGTATATTTTTTTTTTTGAAGTTTGACTTAATAATTTACAGAAAGAGGCATTGAAAATGCACTTGTTCAAAAACAAAAATGAAATAACTATTTTTTTATTTAAACTGGTGTGCATTCTTCATTGAGAAAAAAAAAATCTGTATTCAAATACATGAACAAAGCAATATAATGTGTAATAAACATATAAATTTGATTGCAGAAAATGCCCAGGTTAGAGTTATAATATTTGTTTATTTTTTTCTAGCAAATTAATTATAATTGTAACTTAAATTAACCTAAATTATTGACTAATAATTGATCATTATAACACTGATTTTACAAGTACAATAGACCCTGATTGCAATTTTTATACATATATTGACTTTTGTCTTTTCTTTGCAAAAAAAAAATGATTTTTTTTAAATAAAGTCACAAGTGTCTATTCAATTATGTAATACAAGAGATATTAATTGTGGTCAATTACGATTGGCATTAAAGTGGAGGTGCATGATCCCAATTAATACCCACCTTTGAGTGAAAATTGTTAGTAAATAATGACAGTTGTCTATCATATTGTATTGTATCAGTACTCTTACTATTGGAATAAAAGCATTTAAAAAAAGCGTGGGAATCAACTTTGATATCTATACACATCTTGTACTAAATTTTATTCAATAAATTACACAAACATAAGATACTGATAAAACACTTTCATAATTCTTAACAACTGATTAAATTTGATATATTACTTTTTCACATTGATTCATAAATAAACTCATAATATATACCAGGATTGAAATTTTGTACGCCAGACTCGCGTTTCGTCTAAAAAAAAAGACTCATCAGTGACGCTCGATTCAAAAAAGTAAAACTTTATTATAAATTTTGACTTACAAAGGAACTATATGCAAGTGAATATTTAAAATAAAGTAGCTGTTCTAACAATATTTTCATAATTTAAGATCAAATAACATGTCAAAAGTTGGCAGTAGATGATTAAAATGGTGTATCAAGCTCAAGTTCTGCAAGTCATAAAAACACATAATTTGTTTCATGATATGTCTTCAACTTAGAATTCTGCACAATCTCAAAATCTGGAGTGATCACATAGATCCAGCATGGCTTCTTCTATGAAACTACCAAGCTATTGGTCCGGTAATCATTCTTAGAGTAAAGATCTAGTTTAAAAAATTGTGTCCGATGAATCCGACGGCCAACCAACATGACTATATACCATCGAGGTAAAATATCCAGTATTGTGTAATACCTTGAAAACTTTTATGTGGAGAAAATCTGGCAAAGTAAAAATGTTCAGAATGTCAAGATCTACCTACTGTCCTTTTAGGCCAAACTTGTCAGACGAATCCGAATATGAGATATTGCTCTAAAATATTAACATGAACCATATTTTCTGCAGTTTTGGCTATTATCTTGAAAGATATAATAGATAGAGAGAAACTTTAAACAGCAAAAAAAGAAAAGCAAGACATGGTCTACAAATAAGTCATATTGCCGAAATCGCCAGATGACAACTTATAGGAATTCTATGATTGCCCTTTATACCTGAATATTTTTATCATTTTTTTTCCATTTCGGCTGTTATCTTGAAAGCTAAAATAGATAAAGAGAAAATTTAAAACGCGAATGTGGTGAGCGAGACAAGTTCCATAATTAAGTCAAAATTACCGAAATGGCAATTTTTATATCTTTTCTCGTTGTTTGGCTATACTCTTGAAAACTATAATAGACAAATAATAGCTTCAAACAGCAAACCTTATCATCAAGACAAGATCTACAAATAAGTCAAAATGCTGAATACCTTATAGGAGTCATTCACATTCAATGACAATTTTATCATTTTTTTGCTATTATGTTGAAAACTATTATAGACAGCTAAGTCATCTACAATTGTGTCAACAAACCGAAATCGTTTTGTGACTGCTTTTAGGAACTATTGCCCTAAAATGACAATTTTACAATTTTCGCGTTTTTTTAGCTCTATTTTTCTTGAAAACTATTATAGATACAGGCGTATTTTAAACAACTAGACAAGATCTACAAATATAAGTCAACACGGGGAAAGGCGTTGTTTTCCTTAACTTGCGATTTGTACCATGTTTTGCTTTTACCATGAAAACTATAATGGATAAAGGGAAACTTTGAATAGGCAAAAAATATAAGTAAGACAAGATCTACATTCATGTCAAATAAATGAAACAGTTTCCATTCAATATCCTAATTGCATTGGATCAATTTTATGCAAAAATGCTTATTTTCATAATTGTATTTTACATTCGTTTCTACAGCGTTTTGTTCATCTGCGTAAATACAGCATAACTCATTATCATTTTAATTATATCTTCTTTAAATAGAGTCCGATATGGCAGTTGAATTCAAGAAGAGGGATCAAACACGAATGAACCAGTGGCTCGGTGGAAATAAAAGATACACATGCTTGTTTAAAGCATCTAGGGATGGCTGTAATTCTACCACGTTCCATAATTTGTGCAATAACAAAGGTCCAACTGTGACTATAATGTACAACACTAACAACTCAGTTTATGGTGCATATACCTCCGTTAGTTGGGCCAGTACTGAGGGTTGGCGAGTTGACGGACATGCATTTTTGTTTCGACTCTATCAAAGTGGAAATTGGAAGCCAGTAAAACTACCGGTCAAAAACACTAATTATTCTACATATGATGTTTCATCATATGGCCCAACGTTTGGTGGTGGACACGATCTGCCGACATTTAATAGCACGATTAATCCAAGTAGTGGATATTTCCAGTTCAATATAGCCGCAGGTACTTTTGGACACTCATACTCCACAAATGGAGAAACATTAGAATCCATTACTAATGGAAACAGAAACATGAGGGACATAGAAGTTTATTTAGTAGAAGGTAAGCTATATTACTGAAATAATGAGAACAATTATGATATATGGAAGGTTAAATTACTCTTACATGATTGAAAATGTACTTGGAATAAACATTGGCGCAAACCTAACGACAAACTGAAAATATACGTATAGATCTAATGCGTATCATCTTTTATGAATATTTTTCGATTAAGATCTATGGCACTCTCTGACAAGAAAACTGCATTCAAATAGAAAAAATCCTGGTACTTTTATAAAGCTTTAGACTTAGTATACCTGATCCATGTCCTTGTACAAAAAAGCAGTGTACCCTTAATGTTCATATTTCAGTACGTTTATTAGTCTCAAACCGGCGAAGCCGAAGGAGGTTATAGGGTTTCACTCTGTCCGTCTGTCCTTCACATTTATGGTTTCCGCATTTTAAGCTCACATGGCATGAAAGGCTGGTATGAGTTATTCTCATCACTTGGCGTCCGACCTTCCGTTAACTTTTAAAAACATCTTCCCCTCTGAAACTATTTTTGCAACTGAACTAGGTCTCAATCAGCCACTGGATAATTTATTTCAAAATTGTGTCCGATAAACCCGCCTGACAGCCAACATGACGACCCTGGCCAGAACTAGAACATAAGGGAAAAATCTTTTTTTTTCTTAAGATTGATATGTTTTTGCTACATTAATTTCCGTTTGATTGATATAAAATAATCATTGGTCACCGACTTCGTTTGTGATGTATTAACCAACCTGTTACCGTGTTGGAAGTGAAAAACGTCCAAAAAACTACGTTTAATTGCTCTAAAACGCAACGATTTACGCTTATTTCGACGTTTTGTGGTACAAGAACACCATTTTGACTAATGAATAACAACAACAAAAAAATATTAATAACACACTATAATCTATTTTGTAACATCATATCGGATTTTGAGAAAAATCTATTGACTGGGTGTTGAGAGAAATCTATTGACTCGTTGTTGAGAAAAATCTACTGACTGGGTGTTGCGAAAAATCTATTGACTGGGTGTTGAGAAAATTCTACTGACTGGATGTTGAGAAAAATCTACTGACTGGGTGTTGAGAAAAATCTACTGACTGGGTGTTGAGAAAATATATTGACTGGGTGTTGAGAAAAATCTACTGACTGGGTGTTGAGAAAAATCTATTGACTGGGTGTTGAGAAAAATCTATTGACTGGGTGTTGAGAAAAATCTACTGACTGAGTGTTGAGAAAAATCTAATGCAGGGTATGGACTGGGTGTTGAGAAAAATCTATTGACTGGGTGCTGAGAAAAATCTATTGTCTGGGTGTTGAGAAAAATCTACTGACTGGGTGTTGGGAAAAATCTACTGCATGGTATGGACTGGGTGTTGAGAAAAATCTATTCACTGGGTGCTGAGAAAAATCTATTGACTGGGTGTTGAGAAAAATCTACTGACTGGGTGTTGAGAAAAATCTACTGACTGGGTGTTGAGAAAAATCTACTGACTGGGTGTTGAGAAAAATCTATTGACTGGGTGTTGAGAAAAATCTATTGACTAGATGATGAGAAAAATCTATTGACTTGGTGCTGAGAAAAATCTACTGACTGGGTGTTGGGAAAAATCTACTGCGGGGTATGGACTGTGTGTTGGGGAAAATCTATTGACTGGGTGCTGAGAAAAATCTATAGACTGGGTGTTGAGAAAAATCTACTGAATGGGTGTTGATGAAAAATCTATTGACTGGGTGTTGAGAAAAATCTACTGACAGGGTGTTGAGAAAATCTATTGACTGGGTGTTGAGAAAAATCTATCGACTGGGTGTTGAGAAAAATCTACTGACTGGGTGTTGAGAAAAATCTAATGCAGGGTATGAACTGGGTGTTGAGAAAAATCTATTGACTGGGTGTTGAGAAAATCTACTGACTGGGTGTTGAGAAAAATCTACTGACTGGGTGTTGAGAAAAATCTACTGCAGGGTATGGACTGGGTGTTGAGAAAAATCTATTGACTGGGTGTTGAGAAAAATCTACTGACTGGGTGTTGAGAAAAATCTACTGACTGGGTGTTGAGAAAAATCTATTGACTGGGTGTTGAGAAAAATCTACTGACTGTGTGTTGAGAAAAATCTACTGACTGAGTGTTGAGAAAAATCTATTGACTGGGTGTTGAGAAAAATCTATTGACTGGGTGTTGAGAAAAATCTATTGACTGGGTGTTGAGAAAAATCTACTGACTGGGTGTTGAGAAAAATCTATTGACTGGGTGTTGAGAAAAATCTACCTACTGGGTGTTGAGAAAAATCTACTGACTGAGTGTTGAGAAAAATCTACTGACTGGGCGTTGAGAAAAATCAATTGACGGGTGTTGAGAAAATTTTACTGACTGGGTGTTGTGAAAGGAGTTTGTAAAGATAACTATGACAAAGAATTTTTTATAGATTTAACCTACATTATATACAAATGTTGAACTATTTTTAGGATTTTGATTCATTAATACCTGGCAAATATAACAATTAATTTTTTTGTCGATTTTCAGCAGGAGTTTACCAAAATCTGTGACGAAGGCCATTTACTTGTTCCTTGGCATTCAATGACGATTTTTACTAATACAAAGTTTTTTCTGGAAACTAATAGTAGGTGGAAGCAAAACTGTAAAGCAAAAATAATCAGCAAAATAAGATCTATGAATGAGTCTTCGACTCTTTATATGAGTTACTGCCCCTTTATGACGACAAAGGGGTTTTTTCCGTTTTTGGTGGAAACTATAGTAGATAGAGCAAAACGAGACCTATATCTACAAAAAGTCTATTCGATTGAAATTTTCAATTATACCACGCAGGTGAGCGATACAGGTTCCGTGGAGCCTGTCTTGTAGTTTTCTGTAATGCCGCAACATATCGATAAGTTATTTGGTATATAGTCATGTCATAAGAAATTGTAGATTTAGTTTGATTTTTCGCTCTGGTCGAACACATTTTTAGGAGGACTGGGCCTTGGACAAAGTGAATTGTTTCAAAATATTTATTTTCCACACTTTTTTCTGTAATTACTGAATTAGATATTTAGTATAAAGATCGTACAAGTTTAACCTTCCTAAAAAGGTATGAGAGAAATTTATGTATTACTGAAAAATTATTACACCAGGGTTTTCGATATCACAAACTAGTCAAAACATTAACTAAATTTTATCATCGGTATAAGGACATCATTCGTAAATATAGCTCAACATGCAGACTTCTTATACGTTCAGGTATTTCACATCCAATTTTTTATGGAAATATTCTTTATAAAGCACAAAAATGTCAGTATTCACCTCTGAAACTAACAAAACCTTTAAATAGACTTATTAAGAAGGGATATAGTTACGATACTGTTGTCAGGTCATTAAAGATTGCATATTTTGGCGTTAATATTGATTCACTTATAGGGTCTTTGCATCGGCACTAAACACATTCATTTAAAAACCAGTTGTTGGCATGACACGGGTTATGTTCTTCTCATATATGTTATGATGGTATGATACTAAACCCCTAACGGGAAGGATTGTGCCTGATATTCATATGATGAAGACATAATCTTTCAATAGTTTAATTGAAGTCTGGAGCTGGCATGTCAGTTAACTGCTAGTAGTCTGTTGTTATTTATGTATTATTGTCATTTTGTTTATTTTCTTTGGTTACATCTTCTGACATCAGACTCGGACTTCTCTTGAACTGAATTTTAATGTGCGTATTGTTATGCGTTTACTTTTCTACATTGGCTAGAGGTATAGGGGGAGGGTTGAGATCTCATAAACATGTTTAACCCCGCCGCATTTTTGCGCCTGTCCCAAGTCAGGAGCCTCTAGCCTTTGTTAGTCTTGTATTATTTTTAATTTTAGTTTCTTGTGTACAATTTGGAGTTTAGTATGGCGTTCATTATCACTGAACTAGTATATATATTTGTTTAGGGGCCAGCTGAAGGACGCCTCCGGGTGCGGGAATTTCTCGCTGCATTGAAGACCTGTTGGTGGCCTTCTGCTGTTGTCTGTTCTGTGGTCGGGTTGTTGTCTCTTTGACACATTCCCCATTTCCATTCTCAATTTTATGAGTGCTTCGCAGTATCATTCATTTACGTCAGCTTTTGTTTTTATGATTGCTTTTAGAGGAAAGCCAGTTTTTATTTGTAGTTCATATGTATTGATTGATTTTTTTCCTTTTTGGATACTTTTACTTAAGTTTCAGTTTTATTAGTAAAATGTGAAATCACAAAAAGTGCGACCTAACACGGAACAGGCACGCGAAGAAAAAAATGAGCGCCGTGCGTTTTAAGGGTCACGAAGGAAGGACTGAGAAATATCGAACGCCACAGCTGTCTTATGCGGAACTCTGATATTACTTTATGTTGTTTTATTATTACTTGATGATATTTTGTCTTTACTTAATATGGTTTTGACATTACATAATGATGTTTTGATATAACTCAATATGGAATAGTCATTACTTAATGATATTTCGATATTACAAGATATGGTTTCGTATTGACTTGATATAGTTTTGTCATTACTCAATATGGTTTTGTCATTACTCGATGTGGTTTCACCATTATTTAATGTGGTTGTGTCATTAGTCAATGTGGTTTTAACATTACTTGATGTGAATGTGACTTAACGTTATGTAGTTGTTTCATTACACGATGTGGTTTTGTTATTTTGTAATGATGATTTGCCTATTCTTTATATGGTTTTAACATTACGTAATGATGTTTCAAAATTTGACGATTTTACACTACATGATGTGTTTGTTCATGATTATTTGATGTGGTCATGTCATTCTTTGATGTGGTTATCCCATTACTTAATGAGGTAAAATCACGTGACCAATTCGGAAAAAAATATGTTCTATTTTTAAACAGATTTCAATATATCATTTGTTTAATGTGCTTTGGATGAGTATCGCTATCCATTGAGTTAAAGTTCAAATTAAAGTTCGAGTGGTTGTTCAGAGTTATTTGGTATGAAAAAGGGGAACGGCAGACAATAATAAGAAAAAAAGTATTAAAAAGTTTACAGAATTTTGGACATAATTGGGATATCCCTAAACCACTTGGTCTTGTTGTTTTTATCCTAAGTTCTCAAACGGAAGCAGTATTTTTGTAATAAATTTGTAAAATATTTCACAGAATCTTGTGTCTCGCCTGATATTGCTGCTGTAAGTGTAAAAGCGTCATGTCGATCGGCTGTACATTTATCTATACATTTATCGGTAAAAAAAAAATTTAAAAAAAAATGTTTTTCTGTAGATGCTTATTTCTTGAAATTGAGGAATAACTCCTATACAAGTTTTAAAACACTTCATGGAGGTTTACAAATTTATCATGTCAAAACAGTTTAATTCGATTTTATTTAACTAAAACAAAACTGTATGGTTTTCAACAATAAGCAAAACATATACCCTATAGTAAGCTATAAAAGGTCCCGAAATGAAAAATGTAAAAAACTAGAAACCTAACGATCTATAGATAGATAGATAGATAGATAGATGGATAGATACTTTATTCTCTAAAAACTAATTACAAGTTTTCAGAGAAACATACAATATAAATAAAGATACAATAGTTGAGGTAAACAAATACAGTATGATATTCTAAAAGTACAAAGGTTAAACTCAATAGAAATTAAAAAAAAATGGAGATGGAGACGCCGACGCCACTATCGACGACGAAATATAGGTTTGTTGTGTCTCACTGCCGCTACATTGATGCCGCAGGCTCGACACAAATCAAAAGACTTGAACTTTATTGTTAAATGAAACACTTCAAATCAACTCACACTAAAGTTTCAGGGAAACGGGGGGAGGGGGCTCGGACTTAGCGACAAAGCATAAATACTATAAAATAAGAATTCTCCGATTTTTTTTCAGCGAACTTATATGAATATCAATCTTTAAATTTATTTGTAATCAATTGAATTCCCTGATCTACCTCGCACTAATTGAAAAATAAAATTTTTGGAATATCTGTTTCACATGTGACGACGGGCATGTTCCAGTGGTCGTAACCATAATACCGTCATCTTCTCCTTGAATGTGAACTATCAAATAAAACCAAATCACTGGGTTTGTACTTTCTCGAATAACACGACGGGTGCCTTTCTGGAGCATCCGAGATCACCCCGATGGATTTCTATTACCCAGTCATACCGATCTATTGAGTCAGTTAAATGAAACTGTTTTGCATGCCACCGCAACTGAAAGTTGGGGGGCATATTGTTTTACCCCTGTCCGTCCGTCCGTCTGTCCGTCCCATTATGGATACTAATATATAGTTATTTCGCATAACTCCTCCTACAGTTTGAATCCTAGTAAGTTTTCTCTTTACTGTCTGTTTGTACATATATTGAAGGTGTGCATGTGGTAAGGGTTTAATGTTAATTAATGTTTGCTCTTTTGGGAGATAGTTGAACTTTTTTTTGTAATTTTTTGGGAAATTTACTTGCATAAGAAGAGCGTTTCCAGATAACTCCTCCTACAGTTTGAATGCTAGGAAGTTTTCACTCTGCTGGCTATTTGTACAATTATTGAAGGTGTGCATGTGGTCAGGGTTTTTATTTTTATTATCTTTTGCTCTTTTGGGAGATAATTGAACTTTTTTTTGTCATTTTTGGGGTATAAGCGGTGAATTTAAATGAGTTGAGTGCGGGGGCATCACTTTGTCTAGTTTACATTTTTTCTCGTTTTGTGCTGTTACACAACTGTAACAGTCCGATGTAAGGTTTGGATTTAGCGCTCACATACATGGTAAACTCCGCCACGTGCACTTTCTTTATGTACCTGCCCCAAGTCAGGAGCATGAAGTTCAATATTGTTGTCGTTGTATAAATGTGTGTCATTTTTTTGTAGATTGTTTAAATATAAATAAGACCGTTTGTTTTGTCGTTTGAATTTTTTCACATGGTGCATGGTGGCCTTTTGTAGCTGAATATACGGTGTGTTGAAGGCTGTACGGTTACCTATATATGATTTCTTACACCCACTGCATTTAAACTCTGGTGGATAGTTGTCTCATTGTCAATCACCCTACATCTAACTTTATTTCAACTTCTATGTTGCGTTTTGTATACTGTAACATTGTTTATCTTTTGTACGCATACCCAGGAGCCCTCTTTTCGGAAGCCCGAGCAAAAGTCCTTGTTCCAGGATAGAAAATTTAATTACGAACTCATATAAGATAGCTCGAATTTCAAGTCAAAATCTTAATTAATCTGAATGAGACTTAAATTCGAATCTTACTCAAACTCAAAAAGTGACTCAAATTTAATGTTGTAACTAGAACTCTACCTTTAAATGTGACTCAAACTCGAAGTCCAACTCGAAACTCAATGCTAACTAAAACTTTTAATTCTAATAATGATTTGAATTCGAAATCGAAGACTAACTCAAAGTATAACTCAAACAGTAACCCGAACTTTAATTTGAACTAAAATTCGATGGATGGCCACACTAATCCAAGGCACATACAACATGGAAATCTATCTAAAAATATAACAGGTTTTTCCGAATTGGTCACGTGATTTTAACTCATCAAGTAATGGGATAACCACATACAAGAATGGCAGGACCACATCAAATAATGAAACAAACACATCATGTAGTGTAAAATCATTAATTTTGAAACATCATTACGTAATGTTAAAACCATATAAAGAATAGGCAAATCATCATTACAAAATTACAAAATAACAAAACCACATCATGTAATGAAACAACTACATAACGTTAAGTCACATTCACATCAAGTAATGTTAAAACCACATTGACTAATGACACAACCACATTAAATAATGGTGAAACCACATCGAGTAATGACAAAACCATATTGAGTAATGACAAAACTATATCAAGTCAATACGAAACCATATCTTGTAGTATCGAGATATCATTAAGTAATGACTATTCCATATTGAGTTATATCAAAACATCATTACGTAATGTCAAAACCATATTTAGTAAAGACAAAATATCATCAAGTTATAATAAAACAACATAAAGTAATATCAGAGTTCCACATAAGACAGCTGTGGCGTTCCATAGAGAAAGGAAATATAACATAAGATAGTTTAGAACATAAAAAAAAATATTCATTTGACTAAAAAGGTTTTATTCGGATCTCGGATTAGATTGAAACGATTCTGAAATACTTTTACTATAATGAATTAAATTGTTTCATGTTGAAGTCAATCCATACCATCGATTTTATTGCCATATAAACAGTTACTGTGCATAGCGAGAGTTACACATACATTGATGCTTTAAATTTTCACATACAGTATTGACGTGCGTGTCGTTTTGTTGTATTTTTTTAAATGAAATTAACGTTCTAGACCCTTACTTTCTTAATTGTATAATATCATTTCTTTAACAAATCAATATCTTATAATTACATATCGGTCAGCACTGAGTAAACGCATTGGTGAACAGAGCTATTCATATCCCATTTCTTATAATAGTTTTGTAAATTAATGACTGGTGATACATGATCTTACTAACATCATTCATAGGAAATAATGTGAAAAACGAATCGTGTATTATGATGATTTAGCAAAGAGAATACGTAATGTATCAGTTTTGATTGATTGATTGATTGATTGTTGGTGTTTAACGCCACTTACAGCACGCTTGGCTATATCGTGGCTGCAATTATTATTGGCGGAGGAAGCCGGAGAGCCCCGAGAGACCACCGACCTATGGCAGGGAAACTTGCAATCCTAGTCCATTAAGATCGGAGTCGAACGCAACTGCTTACATGTGGGGTTCGAACTAGTCCAAATGATTTTGACGTCTTGACGTAGGAAGGCGTCACAGCAAAAAAATAAAAAAGCCTTTTAAGACGTCATTATTATTTAGACTAGGTTCGAAATACAACCTCAATGTTGACAGGCTTTTGATACTGTAGATGATCTACTTAGGCCACTCGACCATCTAGGCCCTTATCAGTTTTGACTATCAGCTTATCCAACAGTGTGTATCCGACGCGATACTATTGCAATACATTCATCAATCTGGTCTGGTTAACCCATACTGATCCGGATTCTGATCTTCTATGTATAATTTCATCTCCTGTACGAAACGTATTATAGATTCTATCTATAACTCATTCAAGCCAATAGAATCTACATCATTAAGCAACCAATCAGCACTTACTTTTGTTAAGTAATAGTTCCAAGATGGCGGGTATATCGTCTGAAACAAATAGCTTCGCACAATGCAGACTTAGGTAGAATTTCGTTTCGGGTAAGTATTTTTTGCGGAAATTTGTCGCAATGGGATTTTTTTTCTATAAATGCCCGAAGGGCGCAAGAAATTTGAGCTGAATCATAAGCGTCGCCATGGTATCATTTTGGCTAAATATTTTGGAATCAAGTTTACATTTAGGCTTCTAAAAACAATAAACTGTTTTTACCTGTTATGAAATAATGCATTAGTTAGAAATGTATACTCTTGACGCACAACTGGATCCAAATTAGTAGGTAAAAAGCAAATACAACCATTCAATAAATAATCAAACGAAGAAGCAAACCATGTTGATTTTAAATTAGATTGTATAAATCATATTTACTCTCAGTTTCAGATAAACCCACCAATGCACCTCTTGAAGCACCATGGAGAAACACTCCTCAGTGGAATACAGAGGTAGAACAGTTCTTAGTTTTAGCCCATCTTTCCTCCATTTGAAGGCTATCCCTTAGAAACCCGTATCCCTAATTAAACCAACTTAGCTGAGATTTACATAGTTGTCAGGTCTCCTCTACAAAGACACGCATCTCATGGTGATGAAATGAAAAGTTCGCCTTCGAATTCGAAACAAAATCTGATGTAAAAGTTTTAAAAGATAAATTTATTTCACAAAGAAGTATTCAACCTTCTTTACGTTGAACATAATGTAAAGAGTTAACACTCAAAACAAGACACAGCATACAGTTTAATTTGTGAATTAGAAGAAGACATGACACCCAAGGTCGAAGCTCCTGTTGAGTATTTGTCCTGATAATTAGTTTCTTTTGCATTTCATGGATGGAATATTATATTCATTTACTTAAAAACATATGCAGCTTTTAAATTGATATGGAATGAGGACTTATTCGTACTATTATCCATGTAAAAGTTCCTAAAATGTTTAAAATATCATGGAACTTCCATTGCATTTTCTGTCAAGATAATATATTTTTAAAGGAGTAGGGGCATTAAGGTCAGGTTTTGGCCCAAGAAAATAAAATGTTTGACAACTATACCAAATTGGCATATAATGTTAAAAAATGCAAAGAGTCAAGAAATATAAATGAAAAACATAAGATTTTTTATCTGATGACATCACAATTACGTCATAATATGTACCGTTTTCATGAAAATGACGAAAAATACAGAATTTAAGCAGTTTTCCATCATTATTTCCATTGGGGAAACATTGTGCGCAGCCACGAAACAACAAAATAATTTAAGAGAAGCTTTATTATAACTAATGACATAATCTCACCAAATATAAAGTTGTTTCTTGGACGTGCACATACTTTGCCAATCTAAAATATACTTAAAATTTGATGAAAAACAAGGAAAATCGAGAAATTTTACAAAATATAAGAATTCGCAATGGTTTGTTACCACGGTTACTCGTTAAATGTCAAATTTGTTTTTATTTTCTGAATACCTGGTACCTTAGTCTAGTTAGAACAAATTTAAGAATATGTAGGATAACTTTTAAATTTGCAGTAATAGTTGGGCCAAATAAGGGCCTTATTGCCCCTACTCCTTTAGACGGTATTGCATTGTTATATACGATCAATAATATACTGCAACTTATTATTTTATATCAGTTATTTGAAGCACTGAAAGAAAAGATAGATAAGTACACACCTTTGAAGGAATTGAAAGTTCCACAAGCACGGGTTTTGTTGATCGGACAAGTAGGAGCTGGGAAGACTAGTTTTTTTAATACCATAAACTCTGTTTTCCGAGGGTATATAACTAGACAGGCATGTAGTGGTAATGCAGAGCATAGCTTAACAACTGTGGTGAGTATATGATAAAGGGTAAATTTATATTATCTTAATACTATTTTTTTTAGTCCAGTTACTAGTAACTAAGAAAGTTTCTAATTGTACACTTTGGATCTATTTGAATGTTAGGTACCGTCCTTTTTATTCATAAATCTGCTTCTTTTTATTTAGATCCCTGTCTTCCTGTATGTATACTTGCATGGTTTAGGCTATTCGTCTTTTAGCTATTAAAGCTCTTTTTTTTTCCATTTCTAAACTTTTAGTCCCAGCGTTTTTAAGAAAGTCTATAATTGGACGCAATTGTAACATTTTTTTTCCTTTTTAAAGGAATTCTGAAAAACTTACATTGCAGGAAATTGTAATAAGTGTTTCATAGGAAAATAAAAAAGAACCTGTGTAAGCAACTAAAGGTTACTCTTTTAAAAGGAAATTTATATCCTTCGTGGAGAGACGAAAGTAACCAAAGGGATAATCAAAAGTCGAAAACCAACTGACAATGCCATGGCAAAAAACGAAAAACGACCAACAGATATAGAAAACTAGGGATTGGGCAACACGAACCCCACCATAAAGCCAGGGGTGATCCAAGTGCTCCGGAAAGGTTACGAAATCCTGCTCCACATGTGACACCCGTCGTGGTAAAGTATATGTTCAATTAATGTATATATATATATAAATACAAACATGTCTAAATTAAAAACAACGTTCAAACCTATGATTGTGTTGGATAAAAACCGCAATTTTTATACGTGTGTTTGCAAAACAAATTTCTTGGTAGAGGGGTCTAAATACAGCACAAACAACATTTTTCAAAAGACCAAAAAAGTGAAAAAGTCTATTTTAACAAAACGCATTTGACTAGCAGGTCGAACAACAGATGTTCTTAAACCCTGCTGACTGCCATGGCGATTGCCAAATAAACGGATCACCAGATGTAACACAATGGATCTTAATTATTAATTTAATACCAAACAGAAAACAATAAACTTGAGGAAAAGATAGTATACCGCAAACATGAGGTGCAAAAATTTATACACCATATCCGGATTTCGACAATTAATGTCTCTTCAGTGATGTTGTTAGGAATCGAAACGGTATTTGGAAGGCCATATAATTTACCTCAATTTAGGATTGACTCTTGAATTTTGAAGAGTCGAAATAGGATGAACACAACATTTTCCAAAAGACCAAAAAAGTGAAAAAATATATTTTAACAAAACGCATTTAAATAGAAGGTCGAACAACGGATGGTCTTAAAAATAGTTTGAAAGGGGCCTAGATAAATGTAAGTATACTTATATTGTTTACATATGTATTCTCATTGTTCGACCTCATGATGTACTGAATTCAACAATTAAACTTAGAATCAAAAGCTTTAGAGAAAAACACATTTTCTCTCCTAGACTTTAGAACCCCTGCATGATTTACACCAACAACAACGATCTCGCTTTGAGACTTTGGTTGAAATAAAAGAATACAAACGGTTACATCGATCGTTTGATCTGTATGAATAGGAAGTTTCTGTAATTTGATTTTATTTGCCCACGGACAACAAAGGTTTGAATTTCAACTTTCCCTTGACCTAAATCAACTTGCCACGGGTGACGGGGAAAGGGGAATTCTAGAACACTGGGTGTGTTATATATGTCATGATGCTGGTTCTATAATCATTCTTTCAGAACTGAAACGATAAATGAAAAGCAGCAGAAAATATTCATAATGGGAAAATGTGAGGGCGAGTTAATTTTTTAGCTTTGGTCAAGCTACGTGTAAGGTTCGAATCCAAATGACAAAATCAACCTATCCATTGGCAAACATTTAGAGACTTACGTAATGAGGGGATTGAATTGGTAAGAAAATCAAAAGAACAATATAAACAAAAACTTACGCGCGTCTGGCGTACCAAATCATAAGCTTTGTATCTTTGATAAGCTTTACAACCACTCGGTTGATGCCACTGCCGGTAGACGTTTCGTTCCGAGGGTATGAGCAGCCTAGTTGTTAACATTTTTGTGCTGACATGAAATGTCATTGATATGTTCCTTTTCTGTAAATTTACTGTTTATAGAATGTTAAGATATTCAAAACACTGAGATTTTCTACCCCAGGTACAGATTGCTTTAGACCGTATAAGGCACAACTTTTGGAATATTTGGTTATTAATGCTCTTAAAGTTCGTTATTCGATCTGGATTTGCAACAGTTTTTATACGCCCGTCAAATTTTTGACGGGACGTATTATGGTATACAAATGTCCGGCGTCCGTCCGTCTGTCCGTCCGTCTGTCTGTCCGTCTGTCTGTCCGTTCGTCTGTCCGTCTGTCTGTCCGGCGTAAACATGTCGCACCGTGACTTGAGAATGACTTATCCAAATTTCATGAAACTTAAAATAGTTGTTTCTTATGATGGTCAAACGATCTGTATACTTTTTGGTGAAAATAAGATTAAAACTTTTTGAGTTACGGGACTTAGTAACTAAAACAGGTGTGTGTTCTTGTTTTTTTCACATGTCGCGCCGTATCTCAAAAACAATTTATGATTATTGCTTAAAACTTTACACACTTCTTAGTTATATTAATCTTAAGATCTGTATACTTTTTGGTGATGATTCAAAATTTTATTTTAGAGATATTGAGTATTTTGTTAAAAAAGTGGGAGGGGTTTTTCACATGTCGCGCCGTATCTCAAAAACAGTTTTTGATTATTGCTTAAAACTTTACACACTTCTTAGTTATATTAACCTTAAGATCTGTATACATTTTGGTTTTGATTCAAAATTTTATTTTTGAGTTATTGAGTATTTTGTAAAAAAAGGGGGAGGGGTTTTTCACATGTCGCGCCGTATCTCAAAAACGATTTATGATTTTTGCTTAAAATTTTACAAACTTCTTAGTTATATTAATCTAAAGATCTGTATACTTTTGGGTTTTGATTCAAAATTTTATTTTTGAGATATTGTTTTTTTTTTTTTTTTTTTAAAGGGGGGTTTTCACATGTCGCGCCGTATCTCAAAAACGATTTATGATTATTGCTTAAAATTTTACACACTTCTTAGTTATATTAATCTAAAGATCTGTATACTTTTTGGTTTTGATTCAAAATTTTATTTTAGAGATATTGAGTTTTTTGTAAAAAAAAAAGGGGGGTTTTCGCATGTCACGCCGTATGTCAGAAACTATTTATGCTTATTGCATAAAAATTTTCACACAAGACGACGGGCGTATCATGCGCTCATGGCGCAGCTGTTTATTATCTTAGTCTTATGTAGAAACGCGCGTCTACTGTACCAAATTATAAACCTGGTATCGTTGATGAGTTTTTACAACCACTTCGGCGATGCCACTGCTTGTGGACGTTACGTTCCCGAGGGTATCATCAGCCAAGTAGCCATCACAGTCGTGTTGACATGAAATATCATTTTTTTCATTTTCTGTAATTTACTGTTTATATAAATGTTGAAATGTCCAACATGCTAAGGTTTTTCTACCACCAGGTATAGATTGCCATAGTCGTATTTGGCACAACTTTCAAACTTTTTGGTTATTAATGCTCTCTAACTTCGTAATTTGGCTTTGCAACAGTTTTGATTCGAGCGCAACTGGTGAGACGTAGAGGAAAGGCGCGTCTAGCGAACTACACTATTAAACCCGGTATCTCTGATGAGTTTTTTTAACCACTGAGTCGATGTCAATACTGGTAGACGTTTCGTCCCGGAGGGTATCACCAGCCCAGTAGTCAGCACCTTTGCTGACATGAAAACATGAGATATCAATGATGTTCATTTTCTGTAAAATTACTGCTTATAAAATTTTAAAATATTCAAAACGGTAACGTTTTTCTAACCCCAGGTATAAATTGCCTAATCAATATATGGCACAACTTGTCGGAATTTTCGATTTGATTTGAGTGCCACTGATCTGTCTTATTGAAACTAAACTCGCGTCTGGCTGACCAAATTATTAGCTTGGTATCTTTGATGAATTTTTACAATTACAAGGTCGATGACACTGATGGTAGACGTTTCTTCGAGGATGGTATCACCAGCCCAGTAGTCAGCACAAAATATCATTGACATGATCATTTTCCCATAAATTTACGGATTATGAAATGTTAGAACATTCAAAACGATAAGGGTTTTCTATCCCCAGGTATAGATTGACTGAGCCGTATTTGGCATTTTTTTTCTCGGAATTTTCGGTTATTAATGCTCTTTAACTTTTTTATTTGGTTTGGTTTTGCAACAGGTTTGATTCGAGCGCCACTGATGAGTCTTGTGTAGACGAAACGCGCGTCTGGCGTACAAAATTATAAGCCTAGTATCTCTTACTTGATGTTATTTGATAATCTAGCTTATGTATAAATAAATATTGTTTGAGAAAAACATCCGTATGTTTTAATACTTTTCAAAAGTATACAACTGCAATGTTATGGAGAATGGGTTTTGCAGTGAATAATTTTATGGTAAACGATATTTTTATTATAGCCAATTTCCTCTCAATATTTTACTTTACTTACGTGGAATACGAAAGTTGGCGAATACTAGTAATTGAGTATATAAGAGTCTAAATGATACATTTTTTTCAACAATTTACTATATGCTCTTAGAATGAAAATGTTATTCAGTTCTGCACATAGCTGTTGAAGATAATTTTGATTAAATATTGCAAATTTATATATTTTTGTGAAATTAAGATACTATGGGTGAAATAAAAAACCACAAACAGAAGCTTTGGTTATTTATTCTTTTTTTATCATTAAATCATACGTATTTATAGTTTGACTACAAAAAGACCTAGTGTGAAATACCTTAAAGGAAATTAGCCCTTAAACATAAAGCTATAAAGACCCCAGCATGATAAAATGTGAAACAATGCAAACGAGTAAAACCAATGGCTTATTAAAAGTTTATCAGACTGAATACAGATAGAAACTTATCGGAAACAATTTTAGCTTTCTGAAAACAATGTTGACCAACTTTTATTGTAAATGACATATTAAAGTACGTTGCAGTGATGTATATCAGCTTTAGCATTCAATTCTGTTTAATGGATTCCCTTTAACAAATAATGCTATATGATTTTTTACAGTACCGAATGTACCAAATCAGAAATAGTGTTTCCGGGAAACCATTGAATTTTAGACTACACGATACTAGAGGACTTGAAGCTGACCAGGGAATGGATGCTCATGGAATGTCCTATCTTCTTGACGGCAATTTACCTGATCGATTCCAGGTACACTTACTTATAGTAGTACATGAACACGAATATTTGAAATTAAAGTGAATTTGAAGAATAGTGACTATAAACCCTAGGATCAGTTAAAATAATACAGCGGAAAATCCTAAGCAATCATAGGTTTGTTCTATTTTCCTTGGAAATTTCAACCAAAAAATTGGAGAACTGGATCTTCCTCCACTAAACTGAATATCCAAACTACGTAATTGTAAAAAAAAACCGTTTTTATTACCAGGACTGCTAAATATCTACGAAATCTCTTTCCGAGTTATATGCATATAATTTTATCTGCCATCAAAGCCGGTCTTCAGAGTTACAGTGAAACTCCCTGCTCTATTGGTGGTGTATTTTCCTCGATATTAATACAAACGAACGACTTCTAACTGGAATCTATGACAGCCATGATAACTTAAACTGTCAATTATCTACTTCCTTATTCTCAGCTGTAACATACCCTTCGCCCAATTGGCATTGAGTTTAAATATCTCAACTAAAGACATTACGCCTGTACATGTTCACTCTATTCTGGCTTCAATGACAGTGGTGTGCTCCTTACATAAAAGACACTCAACTAGAGGTTTGAGGAAGAACGACTGAAATTGACAATACATAAGTTTTAGTAATACGGTCACAATCACGAGTTGGTTGACCGACACGATGTGTCTGTGTCTCACTCACTATCTGTGTGGTCTTGGATACATTAGTCTAATAATCTGTATTTTTTTCCGAAAGTGTCTTTTTCGTGATTGCGACATCACGACTGAGTGTAGATTCACAAGGCGGGTGATGCATACATAGTTGGAAGGGCTTATTCTGTCGCACAAAATGCCTCGCTCTATTTGGGATTCATGCGATTCCCTTGGTTTTTGTCTATAGACTTGATTTGTATCTTCTTAATCGACTTGGACTTGTGTGATTTGAACATCGATAAATTTCTGCTGTCTAAAATACAGATGATGTCCTGTCACTACATAATACAAAGTCAGGGGTAACAACTGATTATGTTGAACTATCCTTCCCAAGATACCACAGATAAGTTAAGTTGGCCTCATATCTTGACCTTTATCAAGAAATTGACATCGAGTGTCGGTTGAGAACAAAACTTTACGATAAACGATATAATTTAGGTTTTCAGAACTTCCAATTTCTATGTAGCTATATTTCAGAGTTTGTATTTCCTATCATAACTTCCCCGAAAGAGAGTTGCTGCTTACAAGGAAGTGGTAATCCCTTCCAAAGTTTTACGGGCGTCATCATGAGTCATGCTTACAAAATAATAAGCCTGGTATCTTTGATGATTTTTTTTACAGATTTCCATGGATATGTTCAAATTGTAGTAGTCTGTCCGCTTTTGTTCGATTGTTACATCACTGAATGAGACCATCCACCAAATTTGTACTTGCCATACGCAAAATGACGGGTGTCACATGTTGAGCACGATCTGCTTACCCTACTTAAGTAGCTGAGATCCCCCGGTTTTTAGTGGTGTTCGTGTTGCACTGTTTCCTATGTAGTTTTTTGTAGACTGTTGTAGGCTTTTCTTCGTTTTTCGGTTTCGTCATGGTATTGTAGGTTTCTACTCATCTTATGAATTCGATTGTCCCTTTGGTATTCTCCGCCTTATTTTTAATTGAAGAAAACTGCCACATAGATGATTTTTAGATTAAAATTACCAAAGAAAAATAATGACGTGGTTGGGAGAGGTATTAAGCAAAAGTATATTTTCATTATAGTTTAATCCATCGGCACCAGTTACACCTGACATAACGGGATTTGTTGCCATCCCACAGTTAGCAGATAAGATACACTGTGTTGTATTTGTCATAGATGGCAGCACAGTAGACGTAATGCCGGAAAAGGTGATAGAAAAGATGAAAGGTTTTCAGATTCACATGAACCAAAGAGGTAAACAAATATATATTTAGTACATAATGAAAAAATCAAAGTCCAATTAAGAGATGCATTGATTCCAAGAATTTCACTGAATCTGATACTAGTATTGAAGATTTTGTATCCTATATCAAACAAATCAATATAAATTTTGAGACTTATGCTAGTGTGCGGTATCAATTTTACTGCACCCGATGCGCATGTCTCCTCAGTGATGCTCGAGGCCAAAATGCTTCAAAGTCCTAAAACGTTGAAGAGCTGATAAAACCAAAAAGGACCAAAGTAAAGCCAACCCCGGGCAGAGAATCGGAGCTATGCACGAGAAGGATACATTCCTTAATTTAAAATAATTTCGAAATTTTAACACAAAATTCAGGCAAAACAATGTCCGTATCACTGGGCTAGTGATATCCTGGGGGACTTTTTGTAATAACTTTGCGAATACATGTATTTCTGAAAAAGTTGTTCTCGTTTTTTATCCGTGTGGACGAAACGCGCGTTTGGTATACTAAATCATAAGCCTGGTATCTTTAATGTTTTTTATATAACGGATTTGAACGTATTTGAATAGTAATTTTTTCATGGACAATAATTCTAAGTGGGGCTATTTTTGCAATTTTTGCAGTTTTGCACAACATACAAGTAGTTTGAAGCCCTAGTACAAATTTGTGAGACGAATTCAAAACCAACTACGGATAATGATGATTGATAGTCCAATGTTTTATGAACATCTGAAGTATTTTATTTTACAGATTTGTATATATATAATACTTGTGCATTATCCGAAAATATAAAAAACAAATGAATTAGCTTTAGAAACAAAAAGAAAACCGAGGCCCTCCGATGTTTTCTCCTGTTTTTTTTTTTTTTTTATTTTCCGACAATCTTGTACAAATAAATTATAAATTTTCCGAAAATGTACATAAATTGTTTTTACCTTGCACTTTGATATTGACGATTTACATTTATTAGTTTTATCTCCACCGTTGGTTACTGTTTTTTAGAAATCAAATTGGCTTATACGCGCAACACGAAGAGGACCCTCAAATTAGTGACGTAAACAGTAATATGAACATTGCCGTTCGCCCAATTTTGGAGCAGGATAACAGGACAAAGTACAAATAAACAATAAATCATTTGCATACAATTGTTGGTTGATTGCAGCAAGAGAAAATGATTTTCAGGGGGTCAAAAAAGTGTCCTTATCATACCTTGTCCTTTGTTGAGTTTTATACTTGCTTCTAAATCGACGGAAACAATTATTAAGCAAAATCAAATTAGAAAGATGAGAAGGTATGTAAATAAAGTGGCCTAAATAAACAGAGTAAAATAACCTAACAGTCCATGGTCAATTTTGCCTAACCTAACTGAATTTATAAAAAAAAAGTGCAAACTTTATTGGTTAGAAGTATGATAGTTGTATATATGTGCCTAAAATTAAACACTTCAAAAACATTTATATATTTTTGTAGGCATTCCACAGATTGTATTACTTACTAAAATAGACAAAGTATGTGAGGCTACAAGTGAAGATCTATCACAAATTTTCTTCAGTCCTGTCGTCCAGGAAAGTGTAGATCGAGTTTCTCAGATATTGGGACTACCAAGATCTAACATCTTACCCATTAAGAATTACGAATCAGAAATCGAACTTCATGCAAATGTAAACATTCTGACATTGTTGACCTTGCAGCAAATATTGAATTCAGCTGACGACTATATGTATAATTACCTTGACAAAATTGAAGACGGGAAACTCCAGCAACTGAACATCAGGGAATAACTCAAAACATTTCTGTAACTGAAAGTAATAGATCAGAAAATTTAATCAAACTGTATTGAAATTGAAAAATTACTTTTTACCATTTTTTTTAAATTGCTTATACATCAACCTACACTAGGCTCTTTAATATCTATAAATTAGGAAAGTCAAATGCTAAATTACACATAATGCACAGTTGTCATTGGAACAACTAAAACATTAAGGTTAAGCGGATAATATTAAAGGCAACCTACAAGTTTCTATCTTTTTCTTTCTTCAAGTGGCATTAGCTGTCAAAAAATAAAAACAGCATGTTATGAATTTTATGCGTCCGAAGCTCTTTTCTGGATTTACCTTCATCAGGAACGCTCAAAGCCGAATATTTGAAAGCCAGTGATGTATAAGAAACGAAACAGTTAAAGAGCTGTATGACCAAAAAGGACCTAAAAAAATAGCCAAATCCATCTAAGGTCAACTTTGCCTGAGGTAGTTGAAACCTTAGTTTCTTATAATTTCAATATTTATTTACGGACAATTTTAGAAAGATTTGTTAAACCGAAGTACTGACTACTGAGCTGATGATACCCTCGGGGACTGATAGTCCACCAGCAGAAGTATCGACCCAAATTCATGTTCACCGATTTGACTCAAATTCTCATATTTGATTTATAACATACTTAAACGGTTAAACGTATATCCAAATAATAAAAAGTATAAAAATAAACAATTTACGATGCATGGACTCGATAATAAGTATCATCATTTCTCGGATATTTCAGTCTAGACACCATCTAATTAACCATGGAGGTGACCTCCGAAGACTGCTGACGGTCATATAACCAGATATAAACATAAACATACATATATAGATATAAGAAGATGTGGTATGAGTGCCAATGAGACAACTCTCCATCCAAGTCACAATTTGTAAAAGTAAACCATTATAGGTCAAAGTACGGTCTTCAACACGGAGCCTTGGCTCACACCGAGCAGCAAGCTATAAAGGGCCACAAAAATGACTAGTGTAAAACCATTCAAACGGGAAAACCAACGGTCTAATCTATTTGAAAAACGAGAAACGAGAAACACTTATGAACCACATCAACAAACGACAACTACTGAACATCAGATTCCTGACTTAGGACAGGTATGTAAATAGATAGCGAACACATGCAATTGGATTTTTCTAGGCCTGTTTGATTTCATAATATAGGTAAAACAAAATGTTAATCATCGTTTTTACCTGTATAAGAATGAGTTTTTGTGAATCGAATCAGTCAACAAAATTGTTTACCCTTGTTTCACTTTCAATGTTGACATTCTTTTCCTTTTAATAGCTGAACACGCCTAGTTTATTTGTAAACCATCTCTTGCTAAGGGGTTGAATTTAAAATCACATGAATACGGATTCAATGAGGTCGAATTATTCACTTGCAAGTGAATAATTCATCAGCGATGTTTGTTAGCTTATTCGGACAAAATTGAACCAAACCGGCTGCTAAAAGCGAATTTTTATTACACTATTTCACTTTCATTGATGATTGAACAAAAAAAAACATCATATTCAAAAACTTTTATATCTCGTAGCTAATGTCCCTTTAAATATAACGTATTTGGTTCATTTTCCAGAGACGTGCTTATAATCAGTCAAGAAAGCTTTTTAATGTAGCCCATCAAAAATATATTGTGATGTTCGACATTTTCGGGGGCAAAGATTGAAACAATACCTTTCAAAAAAATTATTCATATATGTGCCCTACAGTATTCTTGAAACTGATGCATGATGAACGTGTGTAAGCAATAGATTAATATTAAACCGTTAAGACTCACCTTTCCTTGATTTTTACAATGGATCCTTTAACTAATAAAATAATATAGTTTCTTTGAAATAGTATATATCGTCGTTAAATTTCTGAACTGTTTTTCAACCATGCATACACGTCAAATAAAGCATCGATATCCAGAGTACGGTGGTTACCTTTTACAAAAAATATGTATTTGGTATGCCGGTGATGTTGTTTAATTTATAGGGTATTTTTTCTTAGCGCTTTATATAACATTTAAGTATGAATGAAAGTAGATTTGGGGTTTGCAGCAACCCAATGAAACAAATAACAATAAAATATCCAGAGGGCAATATAAAGTCTTCAACAATTGACAGCAAGGAGTCTAATTCAAAATAGATAAACTCATCATAGATACCAGGTCAGAATTGGTACGCCAGACTTATCAGTGACTCTGGAATCAAAAAAGTTAAAAAGACTAAAAAAGAACGAAGTCCATAGTTTATAGTCAATAGTAAATTAATTAAATATAAAATATGTATATTCTGATTATCAATTGAATTAAATCATATATAAAACAGATAAAACCAAATATTTACTATGGAAATGTTACGGATGTTAATTCGTGGAAAAATTGCTAATCGAGTACTCATTCGGAAAAATATCTACAAAATGGGAACACCTTTATGCACATTTAACACTATGTAGATCTTTGTCTAATGGAGTCAAATAAGTCACAGAAAATATATTTCATAATCACAGTCACTTGAATTTCTATCCATAAATAATCAAAAAATAAAATCGTATATAGTATTGTTTAGGGCTATACTATATACGATATTTTTTTTAATCTTTTATTGATAGAAGTTCAAGTGACTTGGCCTTAATTAATAGCTCATTTATCCATGTACTATTTCAGTAAACAATAGCCTAATCAATGATTTTATAAACAACTATCAAATATAAACGATTAAAAAAAAAGACCAAACAACAGTTACATTTTGTAATTGTAAAGAAAAGCATAAAACTGGATAGTCGAGTATCATTTTGGTATTTGATACTCGGTATACCGAGCGATATTCGAGTATTTGAGTACTCGTTGACATCCCTGGTAAATTTGAAATAAAACAGTTGACAATGTTTAACTACTTTATCTTGGAAGTGAGAGTTGAGATATAGATTATTTCTAATTGGTAGTAAAACATATTGCACTCTTATATTGTAAATGTTGGACTGTTGGCTTTAGTGGTGTTTCGGAAGGTAAAAAGGATTTTGGACTAATCACAATAGACAAAAACATGACAAAATAAGAGACAATAGTTTTCGACGCAAGTTTTTTATTCGAGGAAATGCTGACCTTACCGGAGCAACTTGGTTTTTGGTCGGGTTCATGTTGTTCAGTTATTAGTCTTCGTTCTATGTAGTGTTTTGTAGACTGTTTGTGTTTTTGTCGTTTTTTATTTTCGTTTTGTGCCATTGCGTTGTCTGTTTACCTTCGACTTATAGATTTTTAAATCCCCTTTAGTGTATGCGCCTCCTTTTTTTAATAACTTTTTGGTTTTATTGTGTTATTGTGTTGTCGTCTTGTTGACGTATATACCACACCTCCTTTCATGCTCAAAGAAGACAAATATCATCTCTTTGACCATACCACACATAAATGCATACCAAAATGTCGGTAATCTTTATTAAAAGATCAAGAGAATCAAAAGAAAGAAGAGAGACTGGCACATAACTTCAAGATTAGCATAAACCTCATTACAGGGACTGGTTCACAACTATTAAAAAAGACTAGCGCGCTACTTATCACAAAGACTAAGCAACAACTTATAAATATGTCCAGTATACAATCTAAACGAATAAACAAAACTTATCACAATGCCTGACATACATCGATTCACAAAAACATTGAAAACTAGTTTAGTCAATACAAATCCCAAACAAGCGGTGTAACTATCGAATTCTTTTATGAATCCATTAACCGTGGAAATTTCAAAATTAATGATTCTAAAAGCATTTAAGATCAACTCGTCTTTAAAAATTGCAGATTACAAGCAAAACGCAATATACACATTCAGTGGTATCTTGCAACATATAGGCAACAAAGTCCCGTTTTTATCGAGTACATACAAGCTGTCAGGTATAACAGCAGGATATAAGATCAAGTCCTTTTATACTGTGATGATCAAGCAAAATAAAATAAACTATTGTTCTTTTGAATTTTCTGTTTGTTTAAATAAAGGTTTAATTCATAGTGCGAAAATTTTACCGACGCCATTAGATTTGGTTGACCGTTATGGAATGTCTGTTTAACAGATGACGACGGATATGTTCCAATTATTGTAACCACAGTCCCGTCATTTTTTCCTCGAATCTGACCCACCGAATTAGACTTATCACTGAGTTTGTACCGAGCACCTGAGATCATCCCCGGTTTTTGGTGGGTTTTTTGTTGCTCAGTCTTGAGTTATCTATGTTGTGTTTTGTGAACTTTTGTTCGTCTGTTGGTCGTTTTTCGTTTCTGCCATGGCATTGTTAGATTGTTTCCGACTTATGAGTTTGAATGTCCCTTTGGTATCTTTCACCTCTCTGTTATAAAACCGTTAACTGTTGTTATTTTAATTGGTTCATGGGAAGGCAGATAAATGACCGTTCGTTGATTAAAACTTACAGTTTATCTCTCAGAGTTTCCATATTATATTGAACCTTTAATGTTTAATGTAATACTTTTTCAGCTATAAATTGTGTTGATTGTTAGAAAACCATTTTGTCTTATCTAATATACATATAAGTGTTAAATAATTAGTCGCAAATCTAGCTAATCATTTAACCCTTAAGTGAATGCTTGCACTGGGTCATGAGTCACCTCATTGGTTGTCGCTCTCTTTAACATTCTTGTCTGATAGGAATATGTTGTCCCTATCTGATCTGCAATCGTTTCCGTTGAATGTGTATTCAACTTGTCTTGATTCGCATCATTGATTTAGTATAAACAATGCGGTGTTGGCCACTTGTTTATCATTTGAAACTGTTCCGTTGCCTCTAGCTTACTTTGATTAAATTCGTTTTTAGCTCACCTGGCCTAAAAGGCCAAGTGACCTTTTCTCGTCACTTGGCGTCCGTCGTCCGTCGTCCGTCGTCGTCGTTAACTTTTACAAAAATCTTCTCCTCTGAAACTACTGGACCAAATTTAACCAAACTTGGCCACAATCATTATGGGGGTATATAGTTTAAAAAATGTGTCCGATGACCCGGCCCGCCAACCAAGATGGCCGCCATGGCTAAAAATAGAACATGGTTAAAATGTAGATTTTGGCATATATCTCTAAACCCAAAGCATTTAGAGCAAATCTGACGGAGTGAAATTGTTCATCAGGTCAAGATCTATCTGCCCTGAAATTTTCAGACAAATCAGACAACCGTTGTTGGGTTGCTGCACCTGAATTGGTAATTTTAAGAAAATTTTGCAGGTTT